GGCGCTGCACCGTAAAAACGCATAAAAACTGAAGAATGCACTGGGCAACTGTCAACGCGTTCAGTGAACATCCAAAGTTTACCAGTACCGTCTGGAAATCTGATGTTATTGGAAACTTATGTCCTGTCTTACGCTTCCTTTAAATTTAACAATAATACAAAAAATACAATCAAAAATAAATACAAAAGAGATTATAAAGTTAACAAAGTGAATAACAAGTCATCTCTTTTGTTCTGCTCTGCGCTCTGAGTTTTTGATGGTTGTTTTCAAGTTCCCGAAGGCCCTAACATTTCCATGAACCCGAGTCTGTGTTACAGGATTATGCTGAATTCCTTAGTGTGGATCCAGCTGCTTCGAATTCCGAAATCGACGGTAGCGGCAATAACAAATACACGATGATGCAATTTGCAATGCTGTACTTTCGACGACCGAAAGGAATGCCAGCGGACATAACGGGGCTGGGTAATGGTGGAGATACGCCACAGCGGAAAAGTGAGGAATCAAGAGAACTGTTTGTTGTCTTTTAAATTTCATAATAATAATTGGAGTAATTATCCTAAGACAGGAACAAGTTCATATAACTGTGCGCGACGCATGATTGGATTTCAGCCAGATCTAGTTTTTGACGATCGTAATGATAATGATTGCTTTTGCAGAGTAGGATTACAAACCCCAGACTGATTAGCTCGGATGTCTTGCAGCAATTGCTCCTAACTTCGTGCAATTTTAATTTTGCAGAAAAAGACTGGACATGGAAAGAGATTGCAGAGAAGGTGAAATATACCAATAAACCGATTGGTCACTCACTGCTACGCCTCGATAACAACGAAGCAGATAAGCTGGCTCAAGAGGCATTCATCTGTGAGTACATCATGCTTTTAAAGCCGTTGAGGACTAGAATTACTTTGGTGCCTGAAATTAATTACAAAATTTTGCTACTGGTAAAAAATAAGTAAAGTTGTCAAATTTTGGTGCTCGACCGCGAGAGTATCGAAATTTTTGAAAAAATTGTTTTTAAGTAAAAACTCATTCTGAGTACGAAAAAGACATTTTTTTAGATCATTTTTTGTGACGGGCACTAATCCCGATATTGGTGAATAAGTTGAAAACTCTCACTGGACGAAAGCTTTCGTCCCATTTCAGGCATAATGCGTTACATGGGTGATGAGAATCTAAAACGCGGGCAAACTTTGACGGACTGCGTTTACGAGCTGCTGATGATTTGCCATCAGTATCAGCCACTTCGCGATGAGGTCTACTGCCAGATCATTCGCCAGACAACCAACAACAAAAGCACGAGGTGAGCGTGTTGGACCGACGGAATATTGCAGCCATTTCAGAGTAATTTCTCACCTGCTACGCACTAGAAAAATAGCGAGCCGCTAATGCTACCCGGTCATGTCATCAACACCCGCCCTACCGTCTAGGACTTCTTTCAGGTTACTACTCAGGTCGTCCTGCTTTCTGCCACACTCTTCTAGACCGTCATCCAACAGCTCGAAACACATCTCTAATTTAAATTATTTTGCTGTAGCGCAGGGGGTTATTTTGCTATTGCGCAAAATTTCGATGCCGTTTCTGAACTGTCTACCGGCTAGATAAAGGCTTCAGCGATCTCATTCAAAATGCAAAGGAACATGTTGGCGTGCAGTAAAATACACTGCAAAACTTGCGAGAGGAACGGATGGGTTTTTCAAGGAAATCTTGCGCATTCGCAACGAAGACGCTTAGTTGTGTGGCGCAGGAAAATCTGCCTCAGATGTTTTGAATTAGGGCTACGCACTGATAAGCTAGTCCGCACTTTGCTGGGATCGTGTTTTTACCCCATCTAGGTTTTGACTTTAAGTGAAAGTGCTCTGAGTGAAGGATAAAACGAAGCAAGCGTTATTTTTTTATTTTTTGTTTATTCAGTCACTTAATTTGCTTGGTTATGCACTGCGATGTTTGCTTGCAGGGCCGATAGCTCAATCCGTGGTTGGCGTCTCTTCTCAATTTTGACTGCTTACTTTGACTGTTCAGAAGTGCTGAAACCGTACTTATTCAAATACCTCATTGATATGGCTAGTGATCCGAGAAGAGCCTATCACGGTGGGTTTCTTTTTGATTTCCCCTACACTCTTGTTCATTCGCGCTTGTTTAATTTTACAAATTCCAATTCAAATTGTTGCAGGCACAGCATCGATATGTTTGCAAAACTTGGTAAAAACATTTAAGTACGGTGGCCGAAAATTTCTGCTGAGCGGACGCGAAATCGAGGCAATCACGGTAAGTGACAAGCACCATTCCACCAGTTGCGGACAAAGGTAGGACGAGGGCGAGGGGCTGATGAAAGATAAGACGAGGAGCAAAGGTAGGACTAGGGGCTGTTGGAAGTATGAGGGAAGAAAGTAGGGGAGGCGATAAAAGAGGGCAATGGTAAAGGGACAGAATGGCTGTTCAGGCACGCTTAGCATGAACAGTGCCTACAGTTTGCTATGTTACAAAAAGGTGGAAGTTATTAAAAATAGACAAACCAGAAATGAGACTGTAATGTACTCAGTGAGTTCCACCAGAAGTAGGGAGGGGCTGATTGGGTAAGGAGGTGAGGAGAGGGGGAGGGGGTCGTGTGGGAGGAGGAGGGAGGAGTGAGGGGGAGGAAAAGGAAGTTGTAAGCAAAGGTTAGAACTTTTGGGGTTTGTAGAAGGACTAAGTTATTGTTCAGCCAAAATAAAAGTGTCATATTTACAGATGGGTAAAAACTTGAAGCGTCAGCTATACTATCTGCCCGGTGGTCATAAGCAAGTAGTAAACACTCGAGCAGTTACGGTGGTTGAGGAAATCATTCAGCAACTATGTCACGACCTCAACATTCGCAGTCCCGCGGAGCAACAAGAATTTTGTTTGTGCTACATTTTAGAAGCAGGTTCGGGTTTTTTTTTACTAAATTAACTGAATACAGTACAGAATGCATCGTGCAACTTGTATGCGTGCGAATATTTACGAGCAAGGAATAGGATGTTAAAGATAAATTTAGTCTCGGATTAGACCCGAGAAGTGCTCTAGAACTTTATCGAGCTTATGTATGAAGCTAGTACATTCAAATTTGGTACATTTTAAACTATGCATAGCTTTTCGCAAACGTACTGAGGCGCGCTTTTACCGTTTATGTCTTTTGAAAAATGATCGTAGGATGTGTATAAAAATTTGTTTCCTGCTCATTTTCACATATATGAATTAAAAAAATCTTTTTTCTTAAAAGATGCTGCAGTATCGCAGTAATTGGCAGCCTCCTTTATTATGATATTTCCCGTTTTTTATTGCCTATTATTTTTCACAGTTTCTCCCTTTTTATGCGTTTTTGCTGTGCAGCGCTATAGCAGCGCTACAGCCAGCAAAAACGCATATTGTCG